CCATGCCTTCTGGGAGAAGTACGCAGTCACGTCCCCCAAGCACCCTGGCAACAGAAGGAGCACGAGGTCCATTTCCCCCAGAAGCATCTAGAACAGTCCTACAAAAGGACCCTGGGATAGAGGGCAAGTATGGGCATGCTGATAACAGGTTCCCTGGAGCAGAAGGGGAGCAGGACCACATTTGAGATGTGGGGGAGACAGATGAGGAGGGTGGGCAGACATGTGGGGAAAGAGAGGAAGGGCCCTCTGCAAGTGGCAGTAAGGGCCCAACAGGAGGGCAGTCAGCCAGGAGGAAGGGCACAGTGGGGAGACAGTGGCATCTGTCTTCCATGCCACCTGGGTCCATCGACTCCTTGTGGCCCATGGTCCCCTCAGGAGGAAAGAGAAAGAGTCAGGTGCAGGAAGGCTGAAGGTGATAGAAATCACAGACAACAGCAGCCTACCCCATGGCATCCCACGGATCATTAGAACAAGGAATCCATTCCCCGCACCCCAGGCCCTGCTCCGCAAGACTAAACACTCCAACAAGACAAGGCGCCTGAGGCTTAATAATTTCCAGAGCGGTGGGATCACAGTACAGGATACCAGCCTTCTCTCCCTACTGGCCGGCAGTGCCCAAGCCTGCAATCATGCAGCTCACCCTCCCAGGAGGACACGGAGAAGGACTCCTCTCCCCCTGGGTCTGAGACTCCCCTCCCCCACAGCCACCTCATAACTGGGGCTCTGGGAATGGAGGTGCCACACAACAAGCGGCTGGTATGGGAAATGCTCCCCTCCCCAACCAGGACTGAGACTCCCCACCCTGAGCCAGAAGCACCAATAATCCAAGGGACAGCAGCAAGGGGGTCCCACCGCAGCACTGGCCCAAGAAGCCTCTCCTACAGCACTGGGCGGGAGGCTGCCCTCCCAGACCCACAGACGCTCTGTTGCTGGGCGGCCCCAGCAAAGGGTATCAGGCCACAAAAAGTGCCAGGCCTAGAAAATGATCCGGACCCACTGAGAGAGGGACTCCTGCCTCAGAAACTGGCAACACTGGAAGCATTCTTCCAGAACTCACCTTTCCCTCACCACTAGGTGACCGGGGCTGGGGCAGCTCCTTCCAGGCCCCAGCAGCAGCCGGGAGGCCTGCAACGAAGCAAGCCCCCCAGCAGAGCACCGCCTAGGCTGGGAAATCATACCGCCCACACAATCCCAGCCACACACGAGTGGGCTGAGCAGGGCAGCTGTCTGCTGAAGCGCAGAGTTTACGTACAACCAGTGTCACCTCACATGATGCCCCGAATGTCCAGGACACAACGGAAAATCTTCCTTCATGCAAGGAAGTGGGAAATTCACAACTTCAATGACAAAAGACAATCAGGTGCCACAAACTCCAAAACGAATTCAATGTCAGAATTATCTGACCATGATTTTAAAGCCGTGATCATACAAACAGTTCAACAAACTATTCAGTGTTCATACCGGCTGATCTGTAACAACCAAAAGCTGTAACAACCCAGATGTCCTTCGTGGGTGACTGGTTCAACAAACTGGTTCAACAGAACATCCATACCATGGAATGCTACTCAGCCAAAAAAGGAACACATATTGTTACACACGAGGACTTGGGAAAATCTCCAGAGGGTGCTGCTGAGTGGGGGGCAAAAGCCTATCTCAAAAGGTCACATGCTGTATGATCCCACTTAGAGCACATTGTTGAAAGGACAATATTACAGAGAGGGAGACGAGATTAGTGCCAGGGGTGAGGGATGTGGCAATGGGTAGGAGGGGGGTGATGGGAAGGACAGGGTGCAGGTGAGTCTATAAAGGGCAACAGGAAGGATCCTTGTGGTGATGAGCTGTTCGGTATCCAGCTGCACTAAGTCGATATCCTGCCTGTGCATGGTACTCTAGTTCGCCAGACGCTACCACTGCGGACAGCAGGTAAAGGCTACAGGGGACCCCTCCATTTCTCTCAACTGCATGTCAATGTACAATCATGTCAGAATTGCACGTTTAATGGAAAAGAGGGACTCTACTAGACATTTCCCGTCCACCTGAACAACCCAAATCACCATCTCTGAGGCCCTTCCCTCCATACTCAAGAACCTTGACTTGAGTAGTTCTCTCCTGTTGGCAGCTATGCTCCCCGTGGCTGGTGTCGGTGAGGCCGGTCTAAAGGCCTGCCTGCCTCCACCTGCCCACATGACAGTTCCTCACCTGTCTCCTTCAAGGCATGGGGGTGTCTTTGGGAGCTCAGGACTAATGGCTAATGCAGCTCATGCTGCCTGGGGCCCCAGCCTTCCCAGAGTACCCTGCTGTTTCGAGGTAAAGGCCCCTCCAAAAGGCCTTAGGTCCCCAGCCCATTGTTTGTGACCAAGGAGCCAAGCTGCCCATCACAACAGGGCCCAATAGGGAAATTATTACTGAAATGTGAGGGCAAACTCAATAGAAGACCAGGGTCTGCCCCTTTGAACCCAACAAGAGAAACGGGTAGTTTAAGCTAGAGCGGTTTTTAATGCCATGTCCAAGAGCGAAATTTCTATGGGATTGTGTGTGGAGGGTGTGAGGAGAGGGTCCTGTCCAACGCACACCTTTCCCCTACAGACCTTCTGATGTACTTCTCCGCCCCATCCCTCACCTTACCAGATGCTCCCATTCCTCACTGCTAGATAAGCTTGGGGGGCCCTGGGACAGGAACCTCAAAGCCTCAGTGACAAGCTGTTTATCTAAGTGCACCATTGTAACTGAGACCCGGCTCTGCAGAGGAGACCAGGCTGCTGAGCCTAATATAAGGACAGCTAACAGTTTTGTTTGTTATTTAGAGAGGGGGTCTGGCTGTGTTGCCCAGGCTGGAGTGCAGTGCATCACAGGCGCGATTCTCACCACTGGTCTGCACTGGAGTTTTGCCCTGCTTGGTTCCCGACCTCGGCGGGTTCGCCCCTCCATAGGCAACCTGGTTGTCCCCCGCTTCTGCGAGGTTCCCATATTGATGGAGAACTTGGTGCGAACACCCAATCGGCATCGCGCACTACCACCCAGAAGTTCTGGGCTCAAGCGATCCTCCCGCCTCAGCCTTGCCAGTGGGAGGGACTACAGGCGTGCGTCCCCATGCCTGGCCAGCTAACCGCTTTCAGCAGTGTGATCACAACGTACATGCTGCTCTCTCTTTAATCCTCAGAGCAGTCCCAGAAACCATGTCACTAACGGAGATATTGAGGCCCAAAGACGAAAGGAACTTGCCCGAAGGCACACAGCTAGTGCGCAGCGAGCGGAGCCAGGACCTGAACCCCTTTGCGTTAACGCCAGAGCTGACACTATTGCCGCAGCGACACTGCCCCCCAGTGGAAACGGGCGCTCGTCACTCTTCCCTCTGCGCTCGGGCGAAATTTGGAGGATGAAAGTTGCAGACTAAGCTACAAAAGGTCGCTTATTCACATGAGGTCTACTCAGGGCCATGAAAAACACCCGGATGGGCAAGTAAGACTCCGTCACGTCCCAGTCTTCGGGCACAACAAAACCACAGAGGAACCTCTGTCTCTCACCTACTCCTCATCTCGCAGGCTCTCTGCGGAGACTCTAAAAGAGCCTCAGCTTATTCGCAGCTCTGCACCCTGCTGTGGATCTCCTGGGACAGGATGGTCAGGCACTGCTCGAACACCAGCAGTCTCAGGAGCTGCTCCACGGTGCGCATCTCAGGGCTGAAGCAGCCGGTGGCAAAGTTGCAGGAGTAGCCTGAATGTTTCCCGTGGCCCAGGGGCAGAACCCACAGAAGTGCAGGTGGGAGGCCTCCATGCTGTGCATTCGGTCGGGAGGAGACAACTCCTGGCTTCACGCGTAGGAACTACTATGGTTTCACAATCGGGAGCCCTTTTCATTCCTGGGAGCCCCAGCCAGACGCCATGCTCCTCGACCACCTTGGACCCGAAACCAGCCGCAACAGCCAGCGAAGGTGCCTGGCGCCCTGTACGACAATAAATAGCATCCACAGAAGTCTGTAAGCCCAGGGCTCCCAAGTCCCATCCCAAGAGCCCGCCTCCAGCCCCCGCGGAGCTTTCTCCAGTGACTTGGCCTCTGTAGGTTTGGGACCTTGAGACGCCTGCCCTCTCTTCTCGCTTTCATCAGGGTCTCTGAAAGGCATAATCGCAGGCAGCTCTCTTCTCTCCGTCCTGATTCCACGCAGGAAGTACCAGCACTAAAGTTTGGCGTCCAAAGATCATGTTAGCCCTAGGTTTTCCGAATGACAGCGCCACATGTGGCCCGGTCTCTATTCACAGCTGACCACACAGAAGGGAAAATTTGACCCGGGGCAGCGAGGGACCAATCGAAAGGCAGGGGGCGGGGCCATAGGGCGAACCATAAGACCCGGTTGCCCTAAAGTGAGCGCTGAGGGAGAGACGAACGCACCAGATAACTGGGTGGATCCTCTGGTCTTTCAGAGGATAAAATACAAAGGTATTTCAAGGCCGCTGTGACCCTCGAGGGGAAGACCAGAGTCATAATCCCCAAGAAAGCCTCATGAATGAAAATTTTCGAGCTCCTGCAAGATCCAGTGCGTCAGGCAGTCGGGGTGGGGACCAGAAATCTGAATTTTTGACAAGCTCTCCCAAGAAATACTTCTTACATGGAGCTTTGATAATCACTGAACCAGTCATACAGATTTAAAGAAGGTTCCTATCGGCTCCGTTTTCTCGAGGGCTGATGGGAGAGAAACCCTAGTCAGCATCAAGACCCAAGGCACGTCCCACCCAATCCACTGGGATCTAGAAGCGGTTAGGACCGGAAATGGGATCACTTCCAAAGAAGCTTAAGGCCTCGGGGAGCAAAGGAAGTCCCAGCCCCTCTTACGTCAGCATCGTTCTGGGCCCCAATGACAGGGCCAGTGGCACGGGGCCTGCCGGGAGATGTAGTCAGCAGCGCAGCCGCGCATGCGCCCTGGGCAGCTGCCCGGTGAGCCTGGCAGAGCCTTGGGCGCCGAGGCGGTGAGTCCCTGAGCAGCCAGAGGGCGTGGCTGTCCCTGGGGCGCGGGCAAGGGGAGCGGGGCTCCCATCCCGCTCGGGCGACGCGAGCTGCCCCCAGCCATCCCTGATCAGGCAGCGGGCGAGGGCGGGTAGGAGGGTACGGAGCGAGGCTGGTGTGTCCCTGTCCGGCACGAGTCCCCGCTGCCGCTGCCTGCGACCCGGCCGGGCCTTCCCGGGTTCTGCGGGCTGAGAGCGCCCCTCCGGGAGGACATCTTCACCCGGGAGCGCTCCTGGCCGCGCCCACGCCAGCGGCCTCGGATTTTAACTCGCCTAGTCGTTTCAGGCACTCGTCCCCCTGGCCTTGCCCCGATTTAACTCTTTTCACGCTCCTCGTTGTCCCGGGGCCCTGAGGGCGCGCGACCGTTCGGGAGGCTTTGGGGAGATGCCCTCAGCCCCGGGGCCAGGGACGTGTCCCTCGCCAGACTGGGGGACGCGCACCGGGACGGTCAGTGCCCCGGAAGACAGACGGGAGGTTGGGGGGAGTCAGTGCAGGGCTGCCCGGCTGTGAGGCTAGAGCGTGGTACTGGCGGGTCCCCAAACCCACCCGGGTGCTGGCTGCCCTCCAACGACGGGTAGGTAGGTGCCTGGGCTGCGGACAGAAAAGCTGCGTAGGGATGAGACCTCAGGAGCAATAGCCTTTCTCAAGCGCTTCTTCTGTGCCAAGCACGCTGCTGTTCGCTTTCATGCACCTGGATCCGCGGCAGGAAATTTTATCAAATAGATGCTATGGCTGTTCTCATGCTACAGGAGTACTGGGTGTCAGCGTCGCACAGCTGGCAGGTCATCACACCTACATCGGCCTGGCGCGAAAGTCCAGGCTACCCGCCAGATGAAGGGTGGCATGGGGAAGTGTCCCAATGGGATGACTGGGTGTGAAGAGTCCTGAGAAGTTTTTTCCTTGTCCCACTCCAGGTAAGAGAAGAGGTGCAGGAGGCATCTGGCAAATGCAGAGAGAGAGGACCCTGAGCACAAAGGCAGGTATGGTCTCCAGACCTATGGAGACTTGTAGGTGACCAGTTCTGTGACCTCAGAGGTTGCAGTACGAACATTAGGATGTTCTCAGAAATGAGCATCAAAGGAGTCTATTGAGTCTAACCTCATCACCATTTATTTCCCACTGGCATTTACTGTGTGACCTGGGACAAGTCATTCAGTCCTCCTAAGCCTCAAACCTCGGTGCCCTCATGTGTACTCAGGGCATGATAGTAGTACCACTGCCTGACTTTGGGTGAGGCCTAAATGGACCAAGAGAGGTAGGAGCCTTAGGACAGCACCTGGCACACAGTGTGGTGAACGTGGTGAATGTCCTTCGTTACTAAACGCAGACCGGATTCCTGGTGGCTGGCCTGCTGCAGTGCATTTTCTCACTTGGCATGCTATTGAAGGGTGAAGGTCACAGGGATGTTGGCTCAACTGCACACCTCGAATGGAGAAGAATGAGGGACTGACGATTTGCTGCCTTTGCAAGGCGTGGCTCTGTCTAAGATGCCCATGGTTGCAGGTGACTTAGGGTGACTCAAAGCTGGATGGACTTGCAGGGCTATTCGTGGGATTGTGCGTGTTGCTCCTCCGTTCTCTTGTGGCCCATCTATATTCAGAAAGGCAAGAAAATAGAAATTAGACTGGGAATGGGCTTAAAGGCTGCAAGATCTAGTTAAGGGAAGGGGTTCTTAGCCTTGGGTCCATGGAACTCTAGGGCAGTGCAGTCCAGCAGAACTCTCTGCACGGATGGTTGCTGATGGCACTTAAAGTGTGGTAGGAGCTGAATTTTTAATTAATTTACACTTAAACTGCCCCATGGGTCTAATGGCTACCGTGTTGTACAGCATGGTTCTAGAGGGTCTGTGGGTGGACTTGGACATGTTATTAAGCATTTGGAAATTGGATGCAGAATGGGATGTGTGCATTTTTCTAGGAACTGAGTCCATGGCTTTCATCAGATCCTCAAAACCACTAAAAGATTACCACCTGCTGCTCTAGGGCTTTGCTGGTAAGCAATTAAGTGAGTTTAGTAAGCCCTCTGGTAACCACTGAGGTTTCTTTTTCACATTGTCCTGTCTTCACCTGTAGGTGGCTCCCCCCAACAATTACGCGAGGTAACAAATTGGAATTGAGACTTCAGGCCCCAGATAAATTGTTCACTGTTGGAAGGGACATGGCTGTGGCCCTGGGTTGTGCGATCCAAGCCTCCTTGAATCAGGGCTCCGTGTTTCAAGAGTATGATACCGACTGTGAAGTCTTCCGCCAGCGCTTCAGACAGTTCCAGTACAAAGAAGCAGCCGGGCCTCATGAAGCTTTCAACAAACTCTGGGAGCTTTGCTGTCAATGGCTGAAACCAAAACTACGTTCTAAGGAACAAATCTTGGAGCTGCTAGTGTTGGAGCAATTCCTGACGATTCTGCCCACGGAGATAGAGACCTGGGTGAGGGAACATTGCCCAGAGAATAGAGAAAGAGTTGTGTCACTGATAGAAGACTTACAGAGAGAACTTGAGGTCCCAGCACAGCAGGTGAGAAAAGGGTGTGGGGCCTTGGTAGTTAGACCAAAAGAAGCAGAGACAACTGACACCAGAGCAGACATTTGTCTTTGTGCTCTAAGATTTCCCCACAGTAATTTTCAGTTTTTGCTTCTGTCAGAATCGGGACATGGTTAAGTGACTCTCAACTATTGAAATCCAACTCCTCTTGTATAGCATATATTTGGTTCTGTCCCTTTTACTAACCCAAATGAAATTTATAGATAATTTAACCTGCTTATACACACTAAATTAAAAACATCAATATACTATGTTCTATGTGCTCTCTGGACCAAGTACAGCCCTTGGCCTGATTTTATACAGTCCATGAGCTAATAATGGTTATTACATTTTTAAAGGGTTGTTAAGAACAAGAAGAAGAATAAGCAACAGACCAACATGAGTCACAAAGCCTTAATATTTACTGTCTGGCTCTTTATAAGAAAAGTTTGCCAGCCTGAGTCAGGTGGAGTCAGGAAGGAATACAGAGAAACAGGAAGGTAGTTTATTATAAACTATAAGCATTGCCATTTGGTAGTTAAACCAAAAGAAGTAGCAGAGACAGCTGACACCAGAGCAGACATTTGTCTTTGTGCTCTAAGATTTCCCCATAGTAATTTTCAGTTTTTCCTTCTGTCAGAATCGGGACATTAATTTACACTTAAATTGCCCCGTGGGTCTAATGGCTACCGTGTTGGACAGCAACCCCTGCCTGCGTTTGGGCTTGAGAGCATCAGAAGCCCTCATGAAGCTGTCAGACGCTTGCATCCATATATGGATTCCCTGGGAGGGCGACAGCGCCATGTTCAGACTGATACCGCCCAAACACTGAGCAGGGTTGCTGCTGCTCGTGGGGTTCCCAAAGTGGCAAACAAGTCCTGGTAAATCCAAACAGTCAGTCGTATAGAATTCCTTTGATTTTCATAGGACTGCAATTCCTACAATTGCAAGTTAGCTAAAACTATTCAAAACCAACCAATTGTACTTATATGCCCAACAGGATGAAGTTCTTGACAGGCTCTTTTCACCTACATGAATGCCTGAAGGGGACATTCCACAGTTGTTTGGGAGGTGGAGTAATTGTGCACTACGAGTTCTGCATAACCCATCTCTGGCCTGTGCAGTTCCAATTGCCACCAGCTGCCATCATATCCGTGGGGATGCCCCATGGGGATGGTGGGCTGCCCCCTGTCAAAACGACCAGGCAAAACCTGTCTGGGTTGTGCCATAGCTGAGCACAGGGCAGAATCTGGGAGAAGGGAGAAAGTGCTTCCAGCTGGGCAGCTGGGGCACTCCAGTCTTGTGTGTCGCCGGGCTCGGCAGAAGCCTGCCTGCACAGGAGCCTTCCTAATTTCCTGCCCTCCTAGGATGGATTGAGTGTATCGTCCTTCCTCTCTGCGTCCTTGGTTCGGCTCACCATGCAAGAGTCTCTCTCCTGTGGTCTTGTCGTGCACTGCCAGTGCTGTGGCCCCCAGCCACGTGTGCCTCTAGAGCACCTGGAGTGGGGCTCGTCCAAACTGAGATGCGCTGTAAGTGTAAAATGCACAGCACATCGAGAGGACTCACTATGAAAAATAGTAGGTGAACTGTCTTGTTAACACTTGCTTATAGCGATTACATGTTGAAATCCTGATAGTTGCGGTGAGTTGGATTAAAGAAGACATACGATTAAGAATGACTCATCCTCTTTCTTTCCACTCATTTTTCACATGCCGCTAGAGAATGTAAAATGACATGGGTGGCTCGCATTATGTTGCTGCTGGGCAGAGCTGGTCTAGACCTTAGAGTGACGGATTGTGGCGTTTTCCCCAGGTGGATAGGCAGGAAGTGCTCTTGGAAGAACTGGCACCAGTGGGAACGGCGCACATACCACCAAACATCCACCTGGAGTCACCCCCAGTTCAAGTGATGGGACCTGCCCCGGCGGCCCCAGTGGCAGAGGCGTGGATCCCACAGGGAGGGCCGCAGGAACTGAGCTATGGTGCTGCTGGGGAATGCCAGCCCTTTCTGGACCCAGGTAAGGCAAGGGCTCTATTTCCTTTCCTTGGTTTGTGTTTGAGAGCTACAGAGCTGTGCAAGGTTGGGCTGGTTAACGAACACCACCTATGTGATGGAAATGGACCCACTCTGATAAAGAAAAAGAGGAGATGTCTCTCTGGGAATAGCTGGGCACAACACACATTTGATAGAATGGATTTTAAATCCCTCAAGCTCATGAACCTGCTCTAGAAGCCTATTTTTCTCTTTTTAGTTTTTTTTATTGTGGTAAAATATTACCACATAAACTAACATTTACCATCTTAACCTTTTTTACATGTACAGCTCAGTGGTATTGAATACATCCATAATGTGAAAAACTCACCACTATCCATCTCCTTAACTATTTTCGTCTTGTAAAAGTGAAACACTTGTACCCATTTAAACAACTGCCATTCCCACCTTTCCCCTGGCCCTTGGCATCCACCATTCAACTTTCTGTCTGAATTGTACAGCTCTATGTACCTCATATAAATTGAATCATACCATATTTATCTTTTAGTGACTGGTTTATTTTGTTAGCATAATGTCCTCAAGTTTCATACATGTATTCTCATATGTCAGAATTTCCATCCTTTTAATTTCTGAATAATATTTCATTGAATGGATAAACCACATTTTGCTTACCCATTTTCCATAAATGTATACTTGGAAAACTTTCTCTGTTTTAGCTATGGCGCATAATGCTTCTATGAACGTAGGTGAATAAATATCTCTTTGAGACCCTGCTTTTACTTCTTTTGGGTATATAACCAGAGGTGGAACTGCTGTATCACATGGTACTTTTTTTTTTTTTAAGGAACTGCTATACATTTTACATAGTGGCTGTACCATTTTACATTCCCACCGGTGGTGCACAAACTACTATTTTGTCTACATCTTCATCAAAACTTGTTATTTTCTGGGGTTTTTTATAGTAACATTCCTAATGGGTGTGAAGTGGTATCTCATTGTAGTTTTGATTTGCATTTCCCAAAAGACTAGTGATACTGAACATCTTTTCATGTGCTTATTGGCCATTTGTGTAAATTCTTTGGAGAATGTCCTTTGATGTCCTTTGAACATTTTTGAATCAGGTTGTCTGGTTTTTTTGTTGTTGAATTTTAAAGTCCTCTATACATTTTGGATATTAATCCCTATCAGATTTTTAATAATTTTTCCCATTCTGTGGGTTGCCTTTTTACTCTGCTTATATTGTCTTTTTTTTAATTGAAATATAGTTTATATGTGTTTATGTTCTATTTTGATGGACAATTTTATCAAATTTTTCATCAAGTATTCTATGTCTACTTTTTCTTTTGTTACTTATAGTTTTGGTTTCATATCCAAGAAATCCAATGTCATGAAGTTTTGTCCTATGTTTTTTTCTAAGGATTTTATAATTATAGGTCTTACTTTTAGGTATTTGATCCAGTTTGAGATAATTTTTGTATATGGTATTAGGTAAGGGTCCACTTGCATTCTTTTCCATATGCATACCCAGTTTTCCCAGCACCATTTGTTAAGACTGTTCTTTCTCCATGGAGTGATTTTGTTATCTTTGTTAAAAATCATTTGACCATATATGTGAATGTTTATATCTGGGCTCTATTCTTTTCCATTGGTCTGTATATCTTGTCTTTATCAGTACCAAACTGTTTTGATTACTGTAATTTGTAGTAAGTTTTGAAATCAGGATTATGAGTCCACCAGCTTTGTTCTTCCTCTTCAAGATTGGTTTGTTTATTCGTGGTCCCTAGAGATTCCATATGAATTTTAGGATGAGTTTTTCTATTTCTACAAAAAACGTCAGTGGATTTTGATAGAGCTTGCATTGACTGTGTAGGTCACTTTGAGAAGTATTGACATCTCAACAATATTAGGTCTTCTAATCCATGAATATGGGATGTGTTTCCAGTTATTTATGTCTCTTAATTACTTCTACCGATTTTTATAATTTTTATTGTACAAGTCTTTCACCTACTTGTTTAATTTTTATCTATTTTATTCTTTTTGATGCTATTGTAAATGGATTGTTTTCATAATTTCCAGAATTATTTATTTTTATTGTATAGAAATAGAACCTTTTTGTACATTCATTTTGTATCCTAGTACTTTGCTCAATTCACTTAATTCTAACAGTTTATAATGGAATCTTTAGCATTTTCTACATATTAGATCTTATAATCTGCCAATAGAGATTGTTTTAGTTCTTCCTTTCTAATTTGAATGCCTTTTATTTCTTTTTCTTACCTAACTGCTTTGGTTAGAACTTCCAGTACTGTGTTGAATAGAAGTGGCCAAAGCAGGCATCCTTGCCTTCCTCCTGATCTTGGAGGAAAAGCTTTCAGTCTTTCACTATTGAGTATGATGTTTCCTGTGGGTTTTTAATATATGGCTTTTATTATGTGGACGTATTTTCTTTTTATCCTTATTTTGTTGAGTGTTTTTATCATGGAAGAGTGTTGAATTTTATCAAATGCTTTTTCTGTACCAATTGAGATTGTCATGTGGGTTTTTTTCCTTCATTCTGTTAATGTGGCATATTACACTGACCAAATTTCATATTTTGAAACATCCTTGAATTCCAGGAAATGTACCACTTGGTCAGGGTATATAGTCCTTTTACTTGCTGAATTTAGAATCAGGGTAATGCTGTCCTCAGAGAATTAGATAGGAAGTATTGTCCCCTCTTCAACTTTTTGGGAAAGTTTGAGCAGGATTGGTATTAGTTCTTCTCTAAATGTTTGGCACAATCCACTGGTAAAGCCGTCAAGTCCAGGGCATTTCTTTGTCAGGAAATATGTGATTATTGATTCAATCAATCACCTTACTAGTTATAGGTCAGTTCATATTTTTCAGTGTCTTTATGGTTTAGTCCTAGTAAGTTTTATGTTTCTTGTATTTATTCATTTCATCTAGGTTATCCAATTTGTTGGTGTATAATTGTTCACAGTACTGTTTATAATCCTTTTTATTTATGTAGAACCATTGGTAATACTCTAACTTTAATTTTGATTTTAATAATTTGAAACTTCTCTCTTTTTTTCTTAGTCCATATAGCTAAAAGTTTGTCAACTTTGTTGATCTCTTCTAAGAACCAGTTTTTTGTTTCATTGATTTTATCTATTGTTTTCTCATCTCTATTATCCTTATCTCTGCCTAATCTTTATTGTTTCCCTCCTTCTGCTAGCTTTGGGCTTAGGGTCTTTTATTATTATTATTATTTCCTTAAGTTGTAAAGTTATGTTGCTGTGTTGGAATTTTTCTTGTTTATTAATGTAAGTATTTATAGCTATAAATTTCCCACTTGATACTGCATTCCCTGCATCCCATAAGTTTTGGTATGTAGAGTTTTCCTTTTCATTTGTCTCTAAGCATTTTCTAATTTTCCTTGTGATTTCTTCTTTGATCCATTGGTTGCTTAAAAGTGTGTTACTTAATTTCCACAGATTTGTCAATTTTCCAGTCTTCCTTCTGTTATTGATTTCTAACCTCACCCCATTGTGGTCTTAGTAAATACTTGTATAATATCTGTCATTTTAAATCTATTGAAACTAATTTGTGGTCTAACATATGGACTGTATCCTGGAAAATGTCCCATGTACACTTGAAAAGAATGTGTATGTATTTTTGTTGAGTAGAGTGTTCTATAAATGTATATTAGATCTTTACTTTGCCCATATCTCTCTCTACTGTTTTAAAAAAATCAAAACATTTTCAGGTATTACTTGAGAAATATGCTATTGTAGGCTGAGTAGAAAGCACAGGATAGTGGTAGAATGGAAGAAGAAATTTTAAAGTAATGGAAGAAGCCAGTTGATTTTATATTAAAGTTTAGAATATATTCCCTGTCAGCAAAAAGTTGTTGTTGGTATATGAAATGAAAAAAATATAGATGTATACACACATATATATTCACCTGGTGATATTCATTTGATATAAGTGAATGCACACACACACACACACACACACACACAGGAGAGACAAAGTAAAATAAAAAAGAAGTGGAAAATGCAAAGTGATCTAAGAAACACGTAAGCTTAAATAAAAATTCTATTGAAATTAAAGCCAGACATACCAGATGCTAGAGGTAGACAAAGATATTAGAATATCTGCAATTAGAAAGAATAGATGTGCTGGTCCTAAAAGTATTAAAAAATCATGCTTGTCTTTTAAAATGTGGGGTTCAATATTAGTACACCAAGTCTGGAACATGTTTTCATTTGCCAAAGCTTTAGGTGTTTTATTTAAGTGGATAATATTTCACTAGGAAATTTTATGTGAAATGTCAGAGATTGTATCTTTTTGATCATAAAAGAAATGAGAAATGAAAATTTAAAGTAAAATATTCTGCAAAGTGTCAGAAGATTCTTGTAACTTGAATTTTTTCAGATTATCCTATTATACCAAAAAATATATCATTAGCTAATATCCAACCCCAACCATAGTAATGATATTTCTTGATGCAGTGGAGTCTTTGTGATGCAGTCTTTGCTAATGGGGCTTAATAAAGTCATTCCCTGAGCATGGGACAGGGCAACATTCATCAATGAAGTACCTTCTTCATAAACCTCAAATTGCTTTTTCTCTCTTTGTATGGATAGCTATTGCTGCATAACAAATTACACCCCCCAAACTTAGCAGCTTAAAGGAAAAAGCATTTGTCATTTCACAGTTTCTTAGAGTCAGGAATTTGTGAGTAGTTTATTGGATGTTTTTGGCTCAAAGTCTCTCATTTGGTTGCTGTTAAGATGTCAGCAGGGGCTGGCAGGAAGCCTCAATTCCTTGCTAAATGGTCTTCTCTATAGGCTACCTTAGTGTACTCATAACAGGGCAGCAGATTTCCCCAGAGCAATGAATCAAGAGAAAGCAGAAGGAGTGCCACAGCGCCTCTGATGGCCTAGTCACACACCATCACTTGTACTGCGTTGTATTCTTTAGAAAAGATGCAGTAAGTCCAACCCACACTTCAGGGGAAGAAAATTAACCTCCACCTCT